GTATTTCTTGGTGGAGCTAAGAATATTTTTTTTTTGTTGACTTTAAATGTGTAACTAAGGGACAAATGCGTTTAAGGACTCAATGTACTCACTTTTAGTGTCTCATAATCGTTATCATCACCAGCCTATAAGAGACCACTTCTGTAGCAAGGCCTCTTCTTACACGAAGAAAACTTCCAGGTTTCCTCAAAACGTTTTTCTTCTCTGTATGTCTATGCATTGTCTACAGAAATTTAAAAGTGCCTTTAATTCTGCAAAAGTCGGAATGGTACTTGCTCAAATTCGAACCCGCAGCTAGAGGCGTGAGTAGGAGCCTTAACCTCCGGGCCACCACAACATTGATGTTTTGTCATGATGCTAAAGTCAAACAAAAAAAGTTATGTCATATACGAATCATATTAGACTGCACGATTGATGCGGTGGCTGGGCAACTGGCTGCCTGCAACGTGTCGCGGGCTCGATTCCCACAACAACTCTTTCTGTGATCCACAAAATATGGTTCAGGGTCTGGGGTTCATGTGTATGTGAAATTCTTTGTTTGTATCCTTGAGTGAGGCCGAGTCTTATTTAATAAAAAAAATCGTCATCTAAAATAAATATTCACCAATAAATGAAGTTAGATATAAAAAAACAACACTATTCTATAGCAACCAAATACCCCACTATTTAGAAAAATAGAAAAAAGAAAGAAAGCCTTTACTGCTTACTGTACTAGTGAACGCGAACAAAATACGAATCATAAATTGTTATATCTCTGTTGGTGAAATATTTCCCTGTATACTTTGGCTTGTAAGAAGGGACAAGTAATATATATACATTTGTGATTCTTCCTATTTTATTGTGCGTTCCGCAATGCTTTTAGTAATACAAGGATTTTCTGTAGTATCCTTTTATTACCCTTCAAAAACTTATTTGTATCAAAAACTATGTTGTAATTGAACATACAAAACATCGTACAACTATAGTCCGATCTTCGTCTATGACCTCAAAAAAGATGGACGCTTCTATTTAACAAAATTAATGTACAATGTCACTTAACAAATTGCTAGAATGTGCTGGTAATACCTACTCGCATCAGAGACCGCCACGAAATTCCTGTGTCCCACACCCAAGCATGCACCGCCCCAACCTAGTTTCAGTGCAGGCCGAAATAGTTCAAGGACATTGCAACTGCGCCCGCTACCGCCTGTGTTGACACTCGCAATCGATACTAAATTTACTGGCCGATTTCACACACAAACCTGAGCCATACGTTCGAGGACTGTTTTCAAGGGCAACAATATAAAACTTTTTACTTCAGTGTGTTTTGGATGAGTTCAAGGTCACGACGCAAATGCTTGGGAAAATTGCGAAACGATGCATTTTTACGTATTGTACAATTTTGATCCTAACATTTAGGAATAAAACTTCAGGATAGTAATTAATGTTCCCCAAAGTCTTAATGGATGAGAGAAATATAAACAATGTATTTTAAAAAACTAAGTTGAAAGCTGATTTCGGATTAGCACAAAAAATACAGAATTTTCGGAAGGTCTCGTCGAAGTCGGCTACGAAAAAAAAACAATAGCATTTGAAACCTTTTAATTGTCCCAGCTTCATGTTTTGCTGCGGTTATCAGAGTTCATATCAATTTGTTAGAAGATGATTGACATGGGAAAGAGGCACATTGTTGTTAAAATCAGCCAAAACAAAATGGTCATTTTTTATATCATAATCCGTCTCCTACGCATCCTGATGGTAAGCAATCAGAGCAGCCCATGGACACTCGTAGTACCAAAGGAAATACTACAGGTGCGTTGCCGGTTTCTTACGGATTATTAGAGATTCAATGATAAAGGGGATTTGAGGATTCAGGCTGGGGGAAGGGAGTAAAGATTGGACCTTCGGTAACCTCACTCACAGTACAGCGAAACATAACGAAAGTGTTGCTTCACGTCGGATTTCTGTGAGGCCGTGGTATAAATACGGTTGAGTCGTCCCATTCGTGCCGAAACATGGCTCTTACCTTATAGTGTAGGGTCATCATTCAGTCGTCAACACAACAACTGTGATTTTATGAGAAGAGTTCAAAATCGATTTGTTGAATATCAGTTTATGTTACTGATGAAATACTACTTGTATAGATACAAAACGTATTGGATTAATATAAGCTAATTTTTTCTTCCAAAGAGACTCATCATTTATCTGTTTCATGGCAAGAATTGAATTTTCTAATGTCACAAAGAAAATCGTCTCAAAGTGACGTCGGTTGCGTTTGTTCCTTGAAGAATTGACAGCACAGGATATTAAAAACTGTTCGATTCGTCGTGAATATTTTGCTGAGCTTGACATTGACAAACAAACAAATAAACCGAATGATATCAATAGGGATGCTGACAGAGTATGAAAATAAAAAATCTAATTCAGCCGTCAGTAATGAAAAAAAATACCTATAGTCGCATATTTTTAGTTATACTTTCATTAAACGATTTTTTAATGATACTTAAAATATAAATAAGTTATCATCCCTATTTGTGATAGAAAAAATATTTCTTGAAACAAATTACTAACAATTTATTTTTTGGATCATAAGCATTTTTGATTAATATTAATATTCCTATTAGGTAACAAAATCTGTATTTTTTTTTTGTTTGAATTTCTTTTTAAAGATACGTAGCAACAGACTGGTGAGATATATCGGTACTATAGATACACTACAGCCTATCTTTTATAGATATATTTTTCATTAAAGGTCCAAGCAAAAGTGTAGGCGTAATATTTTGAGTGACAATCTATAGTCCCATTAAATCTTCAGATCAAACATTCTTCATTCCAAAAAATCTAATATTAGTTAGACAGATTGCATAACGTAGGTACTGTCAAATTTCAAATATTAAATATTTATAACACAAACACATAATATATATTAAATATATTCAGTCATATTGAGTGGTATTCACATTTTGGGGATCGAAGTAAATAAAACCTTTTATGAGACATGTACCGAAATATTATAATTATCAATGTACCCAAGATCTGCCCTAATTTATTTCATGATGTGGTTTTATGTCTTGCGTTTGTATATTTTTTGCGGAGTGTATTTGTGTACAGGAATAAGAAAAAAATCTTCATTATAAATTCCAAATTCTTCGTCAACAAATTCAGATAATCTACAAATGAATTAGGTGTAGGAAGAACTTAACACGTCCCCAACAAGAAATCGAGATAAAAACAGTAAGATACCGACACAGTAACACAAGCAAAAAAAAAAAGAATTTGCTCTAACCGCCGATTCCAAAATTAAATTTAATAAAACACATTTTGTGAATGTCACCCCTTGGTTCAATATAAACATATTGGCAATTTCAGTACACACATTGCCTGTATTGTATGCGACTAGATATGTAAAGCGGCGTGTCCCGGGCGCGGCCGTGGCCGACCTGACCTAAAATCGTCAGTTCAAGGCCATCACCCAGATGCAGGTCCCTGTTGCATTCCGTTTACACTGAAAACAATTATAGGAATTTTTCTTTGTATAAACGACGAGATAAGAACATAAAATGCATTGTTTCAATTGTTTTTTTTTAAGGTTAATAATTTTTTTATGTATTTTGGAAGGAAACATTCATGTTAGTTTTTTGTGCTTGTAAAAAGAATATTTTAAAGTTTTTACATGATGTGAATATTAAATTATGATAATCGTTAAATATATTGTTTTACAGGATTATAAGTATTAAACACCCACCTAAATCAACATGATGAATTTTTGCAATAAATCTTTGAGTACACTCATCGCAATATATATTTTGGTATATATTCTCTCAGCATGAACTTTATATGAATTTATGAAAATTTAAAATAATATTATGGTATCAAATAAATTGTTTCGTCAATTCGTTTATTGAAATATTGTTCACGTGTGTGATCAGCCTGTAGCATTCAGCGTGTCGCAGAACCTTGACCTCAGTTATTGGGGCGCGGCTGCGCACAGGATAATCAATTGCACCTACGGATTTATTTGCACTTATAATTATAAACTTTAAACTTTATTTGTACAGATAAATTTAAATTATATTGTGCTATTTGATTAGATATACAAGATATAGCCTTGTGATTTATGTTATACGATTGATTTTGAAGAAATGGTCCCAAAATAGTACCCAGGGGAAGCCATTCAAAATTAACCATTATAATAAATTTAACCACTAGCATTTTAAGAAAAATATTAAAAAGGATGACAATATCTATAAACAGAAAAAACTTACCTGGACGGAGGGTGTTAACCTTATTTTAATACTCTGTGTGGTTTACCAACAGTCTATAGATGTACATAGGTATATGTGAAGTTCATTCAATTTTTAAGGTAAATATTTCAGCAACGCGCCTTGACCCTGCTATTAGGTCAAAATCGCAGGACAACCAATATTTCACTGGGTTTATTGAACACCTACTGAATTACCAGATAAATATAAGTAAACATTTAAAAACCTAAAAGCCGTGACAAAAAATAGGTCAAGTTAATGTTACTTTTTACTTCAAAAATGTAAAAGGTCATGCAGGTTACAATTTTGAGTTGGGTCTTAATCATGAATCTGAAAGAGCAGTGCATCATTTAAAAGAAATTTTATAATAAAGCGAATAACCCTGACCTCCTTCTTGGAGCAGAACCGCAGGCACAGGATATCAATCGTCACGTCCAATTATTGGATAACCGCAAATCGATTTGAAGAGCATCTATTTAATTTGATCGTTTTACTCATTTTAACTTAGCTTCTGCAATTCCCGATATTTTAATTGTATATATTTCTTTGTAGTTAATCTACCATCGACAGCTTATATTTAATTTCTATACAAAATAATACAATGCTAAAGACACTTATTAAAGCTTTAAGAAAAAAAATGGAGTAATATTTATTTTTAGCGTAACTTAACTACAATTGAAAAAATAATAATTAGTGTATCTGATTAAAATATATCGTACTAAACCGTAATTCAATTAATACTACTAATTGTGTTTTTAGTATGCGGCGTATATAATGAAGTGCGTCGCTGGTGTCGTTTCAAAATGTCACTCCTGGGCCAGATCAGTGCATTGCTGAGACTTAGCTCCGGCTCGATCTCATGGTGGATTAGAAGAAACGGCTCTTTCGAAGAAACGAAGATGGTGCCCGCTGTTACCGTTGCAGAAACACTACTTGTTGAGAGAGAGTCCGCATGGCACTGGCTTAATGTGAAAATTTCGGGAGGTGCGGTTTCGAATTTCGCAATCCCGGAACGGTAATTTGTAGAGACACTGTGTAGCAGCCACTAAAATTTCCTGAGAAGCTTATTCTAATATTACAAACTAATTTTGATATAACTGCATTATTGTATTCATTTACAATGTCTCCTAAATCTAGGCAGTAACAATAAATTAGGTTGCAATTGTCCAATAAATCTGCTGCAACAATTAACCGCGCTGTCTAGCAGCCCAATACCGAGAGGTCAAGGTTCATTGTCTCGGTAAGAGCATTGCATTTGGTTTTGAAGGACTAGATGATTTGTTCTAGAACCTTTATAGGTTTAACGTAAGTACTACTTTTCTTTGTAATGTCTTAAGTAAGTAGGATCTGTATATTGGAATGCTTATCAAATGAATTTGATAAAGTTTTGGTAAAGTTAATTATTAAAAAATCACAATAATATATTAAGACATATCATTGTAGTTAAAGGTATATATTTTTTAAACTTACAAGTAAATATGATGACTGAATACGATGATTATAATTTGTAAAATTTATAAAATAAAAAACAAGAAATCGGAATTAGATGATCTGAGGTAAGAGTAGGACTAAAATGGATGATATAACGATGAAATATATTAAGCAATATTAAATTTAACGTATGATGGCAAAAATACTTTATTTTGGGATAATATCTAGACACGGAGATTATTTCATATAGATGATAATGAATTATTGATCCTGGTTTGAGCTCATCTGTTCCCACATGGAGAAGGTGTTTCAGCATTAATCAGCATGCGTAAGCTGCTCAAAGCGAAATGGTCATTTCATAATTAGAAATTATAAGTTCAGGTTTCCTCGCGACGTTGTCCTCTACCTTAGGTCAGTGATGGCCAGATAACTATAGAATGCACATTTCACTTGGACAAAAGGAATATTGGTGGCTGAATTACGACCCTGCATCCTCATCCTAGAAAAGCATGCGCCTAACCATGTTAGGATTGAATATTTACAATTCATCACTTTCTATTACGTCTAAACAAATAAAGCGATAACAAAGTAAATTGTCCGCTTCATAATGGCGTAGTGAAAATCCACAAAACGCATTCACGTGATCCAGTGTATCCTCGACAAATAAAAGCTCGGAGCCTACTGCATCGAGTCTGACCTTGCGCCACTGACCCAAAAACACTAGTTCATGATCGCTTAGACCGTTTGGATAATGTTTTTTGTACAAGAAATTATATTCTAGACTTTCATGTGAAGGGTAAAATGTCTACGTTGCTGATGGATTACAATGTTTAGGTGGATTTGAAGATTGTCATCAGTTCTTCAATGGCGATATATGACAGATACATCCTAAGTGTGCTAAGTTTAGGAAAGTCATGCTTTAGTACGAATGGGTCTTCTTGACCGGAACGATATCATAGCTTCACAAAAAATCGTCGTGAAACAACCACACGTATTTCGCCGTGAGGATGAGGTAATGGAGTGTGGTAAGATAATGAAGGCTCAATCCTTTCCCTCCTCCAATCCCTTAATCCCAAAATGCCAGCAATTAACTCGTACTTAATCACCAGGTAGTCTGTCTACTTGTATAATCTATCACATATTATAACGGGTAGCACGACAGTGCTCGGGGCCGATTCATCTTTCACTCATATCATAACTGTTGGGTGTTAACAAAAACAATATTTATTTTCTAAAAAAAAACACATTTATGCACAAGAATTGCAAGATGACGGTAAAAAAATATTGATATTTTGTTAAATTATTTTTAACAAAATTTAAAACAAAAATAACAATTTCGTCATTTAGTTCTCATATTAACAAATGTAAATTGCCTTTGTCCGTTGTGTTCCGGGTGAGGGTATCATGTATATGAGAAATAGTATGTTTATAAACGGACCTACGAGTACTACGCAAGAAAACATTCTAGTGTCCCCGCCCTTACTAACGGTTAATAAATAGTGCTGTGTAGACTTATTTCACCACCTTTATATATAAGTAGGTACGCGATAAACTGATGCGACACTTAGGTCATACAAATAATGTTTGTTCTATATCCAATAGTTTTTCAGTGAGGCCTTTCTATCACTCCGGTTAAGTAGACACATTCATGCCAAAGCAAGGCTCTCCCCACACATAGGATAAAAATATATGGTTCATTTTATAGAACTTAGCGTCTGTTTCACTACCTTCATATACATAAATTTTTGGTAGCATTTTTGATGAATTTTGAGTCAATTATTTATTTTTTTGTTTACGTTTGATAGGAGCACTTCACAAAAGTAGTTCAAGTGAATATAATAAATACGATTAGGCCGACTTTCTAAACTATTGCTTTGTTCCTCTTCCTTGTACAAAAAAATATTTGATAGGTTTTTGCCATGGTACCCTTTTTAAACACCTTCAATACTTTACGCACGCCTTTTATATTGAATGTATGTAATGGTATTCTGTAGGACACATCCCTCTTATTACTCCGCCTAGGAACCTATAAGTAGGTATCTGGTGTCTTCCTAATGATGTCAACGTACTCCTTGAAAGAGGTTATTAAAAACTAATCCGTCTGTGCCGTCTTCAAATCAGTGTCGGTGTTCATTCAGTTCACAATTGCTCACATAGTGAAGAATCGCTTCAATCGTCGCCGTCGTCATGATAGAAGGCTCCACACTACCAGGATAACTATTTTCAATGGTTCACTGAACTGTTACTACTATTGTGGAAGTAAATGTATCTAATACCTCCACAACAAAAAGAAAAGTCTGGCTTCAATATATTAAAAAATAAATTTGAAAATACCTGATCTAAAAATACTACAATACTACTACTACAGTATAAATAAGTTGCTTGAGGACAGATTTAAATTATAATATCTACAGTGTGATACAAAAATAATTCAATTGTAATATTTAAAAATAAATAATAATTGTAAGTTGTTTTAACTAATGATTTGTTAACACTGTTTCGCTGCGCCCTAACAGGATATCATGTACCTTTTATTACGCCTTTTTTTATGTAATAGATCGGCAAACGAGCAGACGGATTACCTGATGGTAAGTAATCAGCGCCGCCCATGGAAACCCACAACGGAGGAGTTACGAGTTTGTTGCTGACATTTTAGGGATTAGGGATTTGGAGGTTTAGGGGTTGAGGAGGGATTGGGGGTGGGGAAGGATTGGGCGTCCGGTAACCTCACTCACACGGCGAAACACAACGCTGTGGTTGTTTCACGCCGGTTTTCTGTGAGGCCATGGTATCCCTCCGGTCGAGCCGACCCATGGCTCTCCTACACTAACACCTACGGTACTTATTTACTTATGATCGCAATAACTATTTAAAGTTTAAACTTGAATGTGTAAGAACTCAACTATTTACGAATTTATCAAATAAACAAAAAAAAAAGAAAGCAATTTCAAAAAACATTGTTAGAAATTAAGCAAATGAGGTACTTATAAGGGACCTTTAAAGAGTCTCTCAATTTCGTAAAACTCTCTATGCAACTAAATCATTACTGTCATTGTATTTTGCAACCATTACTTCTAGAGAGGACCAGCTTAACACATTTATAATTAAAAACTTCAACGACGAGCTGTTGTCATTACACTACAGCTATTAATCCTAAATAGCTCCATTGCAGTAAATGGAAATTGTTTATACTGACCATTAATCATAAAATAATTAATGTTGACAAATATTAAAAGAAGTAAATCATTATTTATATATTTAGTTTTATAAGGCTTATCTGATAAATTAATTTGAACAGACTAAGATAATTAAATCACGAATAGCGCCTAGATATAATTTAAAAGCTAAATATCTTCTGTATGCATCAAAAAATCTATTGTAATTTCTAGTCTAGGGTGAAATATATATATAAATTAATTATGTCAAGGTTTCGGCTTAATCACGTAATTGATTGATGCTTCATGGATATGGGTCTCAAGCTTGGCTTGAAACAAGTCGAGTATCTCATCAAAACAATTACGTGAATAAGCCGAAAACATAATAATAATTTAGTATGTCTCACGAAAGTTTTAATAAAAATATATAACAAAACTTTTTATTGTTTGTACATTTATATAAGTGTATTCTACTATTACATAATGAAAGTTCTTGTTAATTAAAATTACTGTGTGTTTGTTTAAAAATTTATGTCAAATTTGTTGCGTTGTTTCTTCGTATGAGTGAGGTTGCCGGAGGCCCAATCCTTCCCCTCCTACCATCCCTTCCTTACCCAAATCCCAATCCCCAAAAGGCTGACAACGCACACGTAACTCCTCTGCTGTTGCGGGTTCTTCTGCTGTTGCGGGTGTCCATGGGCGGTGCCGATTGGTTACCATCAGGTAGGTAATCTGTTTTCTAAGTAGATAAGCGAACTATTACATAAAATAATTAACATTTAGATTTTGAGATCTCTTAATTATCACTTGTTATCTATTTGCGATTCGAACGCCTACTAGAACTTCATACATAAGTTTTGTACTATCGTAAAACATATTCTCATCAGGCGTCCTACGTAACATCATCCTTATCCAATAAATGGTTCATTATGTTTATTTTTATGATGATTTGATACAATAATAAGTACATATTACTAGTATTACTTCACATAGTAATACTGCCAAGCCTACCAAGGAGTTTTTTCGTCATACTATGAAGCCACTCCTGTAATAGCTAAAAGATATTGGGCTTATTGCCAATACAGTATTTATGATAAATTATTTTTGTGTCATAAAGGACTTAATTTGATTGTATCCAATATGGGAGTGCTATAAGTTTTTTCGGTTTTTACGTTGGTCGCTCGATCCCCGATGACCGGAGTGCTACAGCCGCCCCAGTAGACAACTACCGTGGCTAGGGCGTGAGGAGTATAGCTCGCTACTTCGCAAAAAGAGGAGACGGCTTTCCAGGTCCTCTAACTCCGCGCTATGGCCTCGACTAAGGCCGGGCGCAAGAGTTCGTTGCTTCCGATCAATTTCCTGAGGACAAGCTGGGCATACCACCACCGTATCCTCCATTATCTCTTCCGGGATCGACGTTAAAAGCTGGAGCA